CATCCCTGTGCCAGCACTTCTTCATCAGCTTGGCCACCGCTGGTGGACAGTCCGCCGGTACTGCTGGCCGCCGACCCTCGAGCACCTCAAGCGTGACGCCCATGAAGTTGCGCCCAGCAAACGGTGCCTTGCGCGTGACCATCTCCCACACGATAATGCCGAACGAGTACACGTCGGCCTTCTCCGAGTACCTCTCGCCCCTGATCACCTCCGGCGCTGTTTGTGGTGTGTGTGTGTGTGTGTGCGCGTGTGTGTAAGTGCAACATACCATCTCGGTGGCAATGACTTGCCACATTGCAGTAAGCAAGAGGAGTAGAAGAAGCATGAGGTGGGATGTACCAGTCCAGCAGGGCGTGCCGCAGCGCGTCATGGTGGCGTTCTCCTCCTTGATGCGTGCGAACCCAAAGTCGGCCACCTTTACGTTCCACTCCTCGTCCACCAGCAGGTTCGAGGGCTTCACATCCCGGTGCACGATGACCGGCTCGCGCGTGTGCAGGTAGGCCAGCCCCACGGCCGCCGATCGGAGCAGCCTCAGGCGCCGTGGCCACGCCAGCCGGACGGCCGAGTCTGCAAGGACCTGCTTGAGGGCGCCCTGTTTGACGAACTCAGTAACGATGCACAGGTTGGGCCGCTTCACGCACGCCCCGATGAAGAGCACGATGTTCGGATGGTGCAGTTCCGACAGGAACGCCATCTCGGCGCGGAACTCAAGCAGGCGCCGCTCGTCGAGCTGTTGCTTGATGAACCGCTTGACAGCCACCTCGACCCCTTTCCACCGGCCGACATACACCGTGCCGTATGAGCCCAGCCCCACCTGCAAACGCAAGCCAACACCACACCGTAGATCGTCAGATAACGTCCATTCGCCAGCAATCTCAGCACGTGCCTGTTTGCCGATCGAAATATCATGATAGTCGATGACCCAGCGGCAGAGGTTGGCCGACATGAGGAAGTTGTCCTCCTTGAATGTCATCCCCTCACCCACGATGTGAAGCTGCTGATCCATTTCGCCTGAGCGGACGCTCTGGTGGAGGCCCGATGGAACCGACTGTAGCGAGCGTGCCTCGTCGTCGCTGCCTGCCTGGACCTCGGGAACCAGCGGCGTGTCCGCAAAGTAGCGTGACTCGAGGCCGCGCGTCTTGACCTCGAAGAGCGTGGAGCCTGCAGAGGCGAAGCCATCCCAACGCACACAAGCCAAACTCCCTGTTGTCAGCTCTCCGTCAGGTGCCATACGGCCACCACTGTCGCATACCTGCCGGATTGTCGGGCATCTCGAACTTGCCCAGGTTGATGAACCGAGCGTGTTCGTCGGCAAGTGCGCTGCCGTTGAGCTTCAGCTTGGCCTCCCGAGACATCACGATCTGCACCTCACATTGAGCGTGATTCGTGGTTCGTGTGGTTTTGTCGACAATGGGTATTGGGCAACCCTAAGGAGAAAGAGGGGTTAGGGCGCACCTGTCCACCGTGGGTGATGGCCGTGATGCGGGCTGCAGCGTTGACCACCGGCCCAATGTACTCCACCCGCCGCGTCTTCGGGTCACGTATCACGCGCGGGTTGCCCACATGCACGCCCATTCGCACCCGCAGCCCCTTGAACATCAGCCCCGGCCTGCCAATCCCGACACAGCCAACGCAGGAACGAACCAGGTCAGTCTCAGTCGCAGAAGAATGAAGCCTTGGCAGCCCATGAAGAAAGGTACCGTTCGTGGATGTCGTCCCACTCCTCGGCGGCGCCCGGGTGTTCGAGCAGCGCCTTGGGCCACTCCACTTCCATGAGCGATCGCTGCACATCCATGCTCCATTCGACTGCGTCGAGCATGCTCGCGAACGCCATGCAGAAGGAGCCCTCCCCGCTCGTCCTATCCCTGTGTTGTACTCGTGTCAGCCTCGTATTGTGTGTGTGCGGTGTGTGTGTGGTGTGTGTGGTACCGGATGAAAATGACCTCGTAGCCGTGGTGATTCTTGAGCAAGTCGCGAAGGAGCCCATTGTGGAGCAGCGTGGCATCGCGCATGACCGCCGCGTCGAACTCCCAGAGCGAGGCGGCGCGCGAGATGTCCGAGAACACGATCGTCACTTCGCCCTCCGGCGGCCGCACCCCGTCCCATGATGCTGCGCCAAAGTCCTTGGGGTTTGAGACGCTATCCGACGACGAGGCGCCCGAGCGGTCGTGAGAGCTCATGCTGGAGGACGAGGTCACGGAGCTCAGCCAGCCACCGTTGTCGCCCATCGCGCTCAGCCTCGTCATGACCTCCTGTGAGTGCCCGCAGGGCGTGAGTCCACCGCACCACGACACACGCACCACCGCACACGTACACGCCCCTACTTAACAACTTAGTACCAAGAACGAGGGGCGAATGGCAGGGTCCGCATGCCAAGCATTCCGCATGAGTTCGACGTACTCGGCCGGCACCGCGGCCTCCGTCAGCTCTTGCTCACCGGGCACCGGCGGTCGCGCGTTGTCCCGAATCACCGCCACCGCAATTGCCGCCGGTCTGCATCGTCGACATCAACACCACCACGCGCACGCGCCGCTTTGTCACACTACTACCGCACACACACCATGTGAAACGACAACGACAACGACAACGACCACAACAACAACAACATACGTCATGCCGTAGTAGGGCTGCTCCCTCGTAAGGAGCTCCCACAGGACGATTCCGAAGCTGTAAATGTCGGCCATGGCGTAGTCAATCTCCGGCGCCTCGTTGAGCACCTCAGGCGCCATCCAGTGAAGGCTGCCCTCGGCCTGCCAGGTGGGCTCGTATCGCGCGAGCTGCTCCTTGGACTGCGTGAGGCCAAAGTCCGCCACCTTGACATTCCACTTGGAGTCAAGCAGCAGATTGAGTGACTTGAGGTCGCGGTGCACGATGCCCGACGAGTGGAGGAAGTGCATGCCCTTGGCCGCGTGGTAGGCGATCTTGATCCGCAGCGGCAGCGGAATGTCCGACACCAGCTCGTTATGCAACAGCTGCACAGTTGGCACCGTGCGCGAGGAGCGAGGCAACCGTAAGCGAGGTTTTTGGGGCGGGGTCAGGGAGTGAAGAGGAGGTGCATACGTCGAAGAGGGAACCGAGGGCCATGAACTCCATGACGATACACATCTTGGGCGGCTTGGTGCACGCCGCCATGAACAGCACCACGTTCGGATGCCGCAACGCGGTCATGATCCGCACCTGCACACATCATCACGGCCCATCAGTTGCCCCGTCTCGGCCAGTGACGCTCTGGGAAATGGAAAAAGAGAAAAGAAGAACAGAATGAAATGAAATGGCGGAGAACCTCCTCTTTGAAGCTGCGCTCAAGCTCGCGCGTGGCGGCGGTGTTGCCCGAAGTGATCGTCTTGACCGCCACCTCCGTGCCCTTCCACACGGCCTTCTGCACCGTGCCGAACCCGCCGGTCCCCAGCTCCTCGGCCATCTCGAGCTCCTCCATGTCGATTTCCCACTCGTTCTCCTTCTCGCGCCTCCACCGCGTCCGCATCACCAACGCCGCCACGCACATCACGACAATGAGGATCACGGCGACCGGGAGGACCGAGCCCAGCACGGCGCCCAGCACGACGCCCATGTTGTCCGAGCTGTTGGGCGCGAGGGTCTCACAGAGGCTGCCGGCAAAGCCCTCGTCGCACTCGCACGTGCCAGACGTGGTGCACAAACCGCGATCGGAGCATATGACGCCATCGGACACGCACGCCGCGAACGAGCTCACGGGCTCGCCGGCGCACATGGTATTGGTGATGACGCGGGCCAGTCGAGCCCTGGCCTCCGGGTGGTCGGGAATCGAAAGCGAATTGCTGTGTTTTACGCTCAACAGCGCACAGGGTGAGCAATGGACTTTGAAATGTAGGGAGGGGGGCGATGATGGGATAGATCACGGGAGGGGGGTGGGCAGGCGCGCACTCATTGGCCAGGGAGAGGGCTGCGGGATAGACCTGAGTCCAGTACAGGAAGTCGACCAACGTACCGGCCTTCACGCAACTGACTATGTCTGAGGTGCGCAGGACCAAGTGATCGTAGCTCACCATCGGCCAGCTGGCGGTCCCCCCTCCTGGTGCTCATCTGTCTCGTGAGTTAAGGGCCATGAGGCCGAGCGCGAGCCACAGAGGTGCCGAACCGTTGATGAGAACGGAGGTGAAGGGCTGGTCGCGGTAGTCCTTCACGGCCGACGCGACACTTTCGGCCGAGGCTGACACCCGCTCCCCACGCGCGTTGATCAGGTCGGCAAACCCGATGTAGCGCCGCTCAACGATGGGCAGCTGCGGCCATACACCCAGCGTGTAGGCGTTCTCGTCAAGCGCTGCCGCCACGTCATCGGCCCACAACACCCGACCCGTCCTCTCCACGGGGAAGCTCGCGTCCACCTGTCTCCACGTTCCGCAAGGTGTGAGCTCGCCGACGCGATGCACCCTCTCTCCGTGGGTCCGTACCATCGAATCGCGGAAGGCCTGACTCGCGCTGCTCAGTGTCTGAATGAGGATGCTGGTAACAGAGGGCATGCTGGTGCTCAGCACCACGGTGATGTTCTTGTTGGGCAGAAGGGACGCCAGCTCTGGGTTGAGGTCGCGGATGGCCGCGTGGTCCCACGTATCTACGGTGCCCAGATAGATGTCGGCTAGCGTGGCGAGGTTGAGCAGGAGCGAGCCACGGTTGAGCACCTCCGGCAACTGGACACCGACACGGTCGGCAAATGAGTTCACACCACATGAGCGAAATTCGGGGTGCGTAGGGGTTAAGACGTACGCTGTAGGCGGCACCAATGGCAAAGGCGACGATCGGCAGGCTCAACTGATCAGAGGAGTCCCTTTTCCTCACCTGCGAGGCCTCTTGATGGTCAATCATGTCGTAGCTGACTACGCTAAAGTCGACATTACCTATGGGAAGAAGCAAAAGCAGGTAAGTCGCCAATGTAACGTCATAAAATGACTCTCTCTCTCTCTCTCTCTTTTTGTCATGTACCGGAGGCCAACTCATAGAGGGCATGAGTGCCGTTGACCTCGCTGTACAAGGTCATCTGGAAGTTGGAGTCGAAAGGGTATGCGCTTGCCCACATGGGGCCGATCTTGAAATCGTTGCCTTTGCCAATCACCACCTTGGTAGAGAACACCTGCTTGCCATTGCACGACAGCAGACCAAACGAGTCCATGACCAACCTGTCCAACAGGACCAAGGCACAATGCATGAGATAGCGACGGACTGAAAACAGAGCACCCAACACAAAGTAATAAAATGTGAAGGGTGGTGGCGGCACCGCTTGTAGAGGAGAGGAAGGGGCATGTAGCCCTGCTCCTCGATGGTTCTGGTGGCCTGTTCGTTGAGTTGGGTCCAGACGAGCATCTGCTGTCCATAGGTCATCCACGTGCAGGACGAAGCGTTGGCGTGCTGCCGGGTGGTGATCGAGCTGAACATGACCAGAGGCCACGAAGTGGACAGGTTGCCGTTGTGCACGTCGACAACG